CAACCAAGTTTGTGTTGAGGAAATTGTTGTAGAAACATGCACACAAGAGGCCGCAAAGGAGAATGAGCAACTCAAGCAAGAAGTGGCTCACCTCACCAAGGACTTGACTCAAGTGAAAGGCAAGACGAAGCAAGCCAAACTTCATCAAGATAACATCGTCAAGGAGTGAAGAAGCTTGATGAAGGACAAACCATGGTTTGATACATATGCCACAAGGAAGGCCACAAGTCCTATGAGTGTAAGGTGAAGAATGGGGGAGGAACTAAGAAGAAAGAGAAAAATAAAAAGAAAACAAGCAAGCTCTCCAACACCTACACCAACAAGGTGGACAAAAAGACCTCCACACCTTATCTCTTGAAGAAGAAGAAAAATGACAAGGTGGTGGCCATCAAGGTGAACAAGCAAGCCAACAATGGGGCCAAACGCATTTGGGTGCCAAAGGAGATCATTTCCAACATGAAGAGCACCAAGAAGGTTTGGATCCCAAAGGAAAGTGAGAAGTCCGATGGACTTGGGAATTTGGAGACTTGGCAAAGTATGGGTGCATTTCATGGGGTGCATCATTATGGACAAGGTAATTGCCAAGTGGGTTAGTGAATACTATAGACCCAAATTCCCCTTCCCATGTTAGGTAACTAAATTAAATTTCTTGAAATTTCAATGAGCATCTAGTTCCTTTTTCATGCCTAGGTTTGCATTTGCATGTTTAATCTTTTGTCTTGTATACACTAGGTATATCTTATGGTAGGCTTGCTTGGTTTCATTCCTAACCCTTGAGCATACCTACATAGTTTAAATTGTTTAGGAGCACGGCACATAGCTTGTTTTACAATTGTTCATCTAATATGTGCCAAAGTCCAAATTGTAGATAATTTCTTCTGAATATCACCTTCGAAAATGATTCTCATATTCATGTGATGTCATCTTTCAAGTGGTATTTTTTATTTTAAAATCAATGTGTATGTCTCCTACAAGTATTCCATACTTGTGTGCACAAATTTAGGGGGAGGTTACTCTACAAGTTGGATGCTTTGAGACTAACACCTTTTCAAGCTTATCATGTGTGTAGTAGTCTCATTGCAAGGAAAATGGAGTGCCCGGAGTTAAGCATCATACTTCAAATATCCACCACCTATTGCAAGTGGTATAAATCAAATTGGTTTCCACATGTGGTATTTCTAAACCGATATCATCATGTTGATTTCACTTTGATATTTATATGCTTTCTCCATGAATTATATAGATTAAACTCCCTTGAGCATTAATTTGCCAATTATGCATAAACTACATTCTCCATCATATGTATGCATATATTTAGGGGGAGCTTAGTCTATGTAATGTGAGAGTCAAATTTTGTGACATATTCCACTCCACATACAAAGGATCACAAAGTTTGACCCTCCCTTGTGCTACTAATGTCTTCCTTTTCGGTGTTTGATTACAAAGGGGGAGAATTTGTAGGACTAAAAGCAAGCCCGATCATAATAATTTATAAGTGTTAATGGTCCGAGAAAGGGAGGATAGTGGATTATGGAGTTAGGGGGAGGCTTAAATCCATAATGCCACATGGGGACATTTGTAAGGGCAAGATAAGTTTCCAAAGATGTTTACATGTGGTATCTCTTAGCATCATATAACCTTGCCCTTTGCATTGTATCCTAGCAAGTAGATAGTTTTTAAATTCCAAAATTCTTATTATTTGCTTGCTTTGGTCGTGTTGTCATCAATCACCAAAAAGGGGGAGATTGTAAGGAAAATGGACCATAGGCCCATTTACTTTGAATTTTGGTGTTTGATGACCAACACAACCAAATTGGACTAATAAATTTGCAAGTGATTGTTCTGTAGTTCAATAGGGTGCAAGACGTGACTTGGACGAAGGCGACATGATGATCCGATGATCAACACCTTAAGCAAGAGCTTAGAAGCACAAGAGAGGATCCAAGATATCAAGCAAAGTCCAAGCACGAAGATGGGAACCAAGCCGGACACAAGATCGCGAAGAAACGAACTCGGCAGAGGTGATCGGACGCGGCCCTAATAAGGACCGAGACGCGTCCGATTAGTTGCTCGGCAACACCAGGTGTCGGCAGCTGTGATCGGACGCTGAGCAGTAGTGACCGGACGTTGAGTGAAGTAGTGATCGGACGCACCGGTGACACTGTTCATGATCACGACAATGTTTTCAGTGTGACCGGATGCAGCAGTCTGGACGACTAGACGCACGAAGTGTAGCGTCCGATCGAGTCCAGAGAGGTTCTAGAGCGGCGCCAGCGCGACTGGACGTGTCCGGTCGATGATGACCGGACTTTGAGCCGAGTCCGATCAACGCGCGCGCTCCAACCGTCGGGACGACCGGACGCGTCCGATCAGTAGATGAAAAGTGAGTTTCATCCCCAACGACTACTTTCTCAGTGGGGCTTATAAATAGACCCCCAACCGGCCATTTGAGAAGAGTGGAGCTGAGGAAACATATCAAGGGTGTTGATACACCATTTTAGTGATCTCCACTTGCATAGTGCTTAGTGATTCATTAGGTGATTAGCGTAGGTGCTTTACGAAGTACTTAGGTTGATTAGACCACCGCTTATGCGCTTGCTCTAGGTTTAGGCCTAGTGTTTAGTGAGGTTTGCATACCTCTTATCATTCGGTGCTTGCGCGCACCATTGTTGTACATCGGAGGGGCTTGTAGTCTTACGAGATCACACCAACCGTGTTTATGGTGTGGCCGCCACCGTGTACCGAAAGGAACAAGGCCCGCGCCCATTCGGACGGAAGCTTGATAGTGAAGATGGCGGGGAGCGGTCCGGGAGAGGCTTGCCGGAAGGCACACCGGAGACCCACTTGCACGTGGGGAAGACTTGGGGCTATCCACGGAGTTACCCGACCGGGAGCTTGGCCCTTACGAGGGATTCCTTGCGAGGGGCTCCAACGAGGACTAGGGGGAAGCTTGCGTGCTTCTTGATACCTCGGTAAAAATGCCGGAGTCGTCGACGGGAGTTTGCATATCTCTACCTTACTCTTTAGCTTCCGCATTTACATTGTTTGCATAACTCTTTTTGCGGTAGAGATAGTAACACACTAGCAAAACCGTAGTTGAACATTTAGATAGTTTATCTTTTGCATAGGTTTTGCTAAGAATAGAAAAAGAGACCATAGTTTAGAATTAGATTTTTAAGTTGCCTAATTCAACACCCCTCTTAGGCGTCACGGTCCCCTTTCAGAAACATAGGAACAAAAGCTTGCAACATACATGTACAACTATTGCAACATATGCAACATCTCAATTGGCTTTTGCAACATCCACATGAAATAATTGCAACATACCTGTGAAACATCTGAAATATTTAAAATATACACTTGCAGCATGCGCTTTCAGCGCAACATTTCTTTGCTGCTTGGGAGAAATGGAGGCTCATTGGCATTTGAAGTTCATCGGAGTATAGCTCGCCGGTGGCACGGAGCGACTAGTTAGGGGGGACACGATGCCGTCGAGCGCATCACAGCCGCGCTCTGCGCCTAGCCACAGGCCCCTTGAGGCGGCATGAGAACTGGATCTAGATCTGACGCGGGGGAGGGTGCCCGCCGCCGCCACCATCGGTGGGAGAGGGGAGGCGGCTTGCTGCCACCGCCACCATTAAGGAGGAAGAAAGGGAATCACGGCAGAATCCATAGCCGGGAGAAAGCCGCCGCCGGAGGGAAAGGAGAGGGAGTACTGCTGTTGGGAGAGGAATGGCCACCACAGGCACGGTCGGAATGGGGTAGGCGCCGCGCCCGCCATCGGGGCAGGGAATAGCATATCGGCATCGCGGCGGGCTGCGGCCCCTCAGCCTCGGTCACGTGCGGTGGCGGATAATGGAGGCAGCTGGATAATGCTAGAGACGTTGTTGGACTGGTGCCGCGGCCCACGAACACGACGTCCGGACGATCGGACGCCCTGACCAGATAATTTCCACTTCATAAATGCGTTCGTTCGTCTCGATGATTTCAGACCAGGGCTCAAGAGCCTTCAAGGAGGTGGTGATCATCCGGCACCCCAGGATTTGCGAGGATGCGCTGGGCTTCATCATGGCGACGGTGGCGCTGCGCGGCAACCAGGACCTTGCCTGCGTCTACGTACTTACCAACAACGTCTACCTTGGGTACATCTTCCTCATGAGTCGCGGCGACGTCATCATCCCGGGCCACTCCGTCCGGGAGGCCATCGGTAACAGAATGCATCACCAGCCTTCCTCTCCTCGTGCCTACCGAGTTTCTTGATCTGAATGGGGAATTTGTTGCAGAAATTGTCCTCTCAGGCAGCATGTCGGCACCAAAGATCATATCAGCGGTGGAGGGGGCCGTTGGCCTCGGCGACCATGGCTGAGCAGTGAAGGACTCTCCTAGCTCACACTTTTTCCAACTCCTGACAGCTGACGCTTCCTTCTCATCATCACAATCTTGGGTTGCTCTTCGAGGTTCTGAATGTTTTAGATGGCAGGTTTAGACATCGTGTTCCAATTTTCATCTGTCATAGGAAAATATATTTTAGTATATCTAGCAATATTTTGCTGTATAAATACTTTAGCGAGTTTTGGTATGAACTGACAAAACATTGTAACGACAGGCAAACAGCATAAGTTTACATTGATACTCACGACAACAGGTAAATGAAAGAAGAAATCCATGTTTGGTGTGCATAATTCAGCAACATCTTGTGTCCCGGTAAATGTGGCGCGCAATCAAATTAACTAGTATTACTCCACCCCAGATGTATGAGAACGGCTTATTCAGTGATCAGCATCGATCTTTTATTGCTCATGTTGCCTCCATTCGACATGTCTAAATTACCACAGGACCCAACCATAAAAGCCCAACAGTCCCAGACGTCCCCTTTCATCAATAGCCATATGGGATTGCGAATTTGCAATCAGCAGTCAATGATGCTAGGGTGCACAATTGACCGAATCGAACAGCTGTGATACGTCAGCTTCTCCAATCAGGCAAGCTTCTTTTGGCCATCAGGCTTGTTGGATGCCGCTAGGCCAAGTCAGGTTCTTCACAGGCTCAAGAATTGCTTCAACTTCACGCAGAAGTTCTTCATCAATGCCTGATGTTGACAACTCCAGTGCAGCAGCCACATTCTCATCCACCTTGTATCATGGAAACACAAGACGTTATGCCAGAAATCACTACATTGCCATCTAAACTTCTGTCCCAACAAGCAAACTGAATGATTCTCCATGGTGACGCAGCAATCTTTAAATGGGACTGCAAAACCCCACTGCTGGCCATGTTTTGGAAAGAAGAAAAGGGTGAGGATGTCATCTTTGAATAAACTCATTTTCACTTCACATCCTCAAGGCAATATATATACCTGCTTCAAAAAGGATGCTACCATAGAACGACCACACATGCTGGCAAGTGGCAAGTTCTGTGGCTACTCAGAATTGAAAAAGTCTAGCCCAACAGGCTGCAGTCATAAGGTGAGTGCTCCAATATACTTCATTGCTACTAATCAATAGTTAAATAAACAAGATACAACATGGTTTATCATCAAGTAATACACTTGGTGAGTATGGTGACTACCAAAAATTCTTTTCAAATTTTTTAAAGTTTGTACAAGATATGAGAACTGGCTTGGCAATCTTTAGCTCTTCTAGTTGATCAAATTTACAAACCTGTACTAAGTAATAACTAACTAAATAGGAACTAGTTTATAGATGTGATTTAAAAGAAAAATACAGGCCTCAACTAACATGGCTATCCTCTATATTACCTTATGAAGGATGAACTGCTCAACACAGTGATAAAACTATGACAACAATGAATCTATTCCTAATTAAGATTAACAAAGAAATATGAAAATCTTTTAGGCCACGTGTGACACAGATCGAGCCAAATATACTAGGGGTCAACAGGAATCTGCTCACAGCTCACATCAGGTTTAGATTGTGGAAGCACGGGAATATGATGTTCAAAATGCCTTAGATAATTCTTATCATTTCCTAAACCAACCAGAATATGTTCTAGCAGCTCACGAGTTTGAAAAGATACTTTGTTCATCAAGCAATATGAATATGCTGAATAGAAGGAAAAGGTCCAAAAAAAACAGTGTACCTGTTTTGAAGAGTTCATTCCAACAAGAACTGTCGAGATTTCATTATTCAGCAAGCTGTACTGCATAGCTAGCTTCGTAATGCTTTTCCCTTTCTTTCTACAGTGATCAGCTGCAGCCCTGCATGCTGACTGACAAACAGGCAATATTATACTTGTCAAATAAATTTCTAGCATAAATTGGAACAGTATGTATAAGAAATAAACACAAACCAAAAAGAATCTTCAGCAAGATATAGGTGACATGAACATCTGCTATGCCAAACAGAGTTCTCAATTTTCACATGGACGGTTTATCCTTGTGACTTCAGTTAAGATACAGATATCATCAAGAATATTGAGTGGGTGTGCTTGAGTATGTGGGTGCGGTGTGAAGTTAATGCAATGATACACAGCTCCCCTGTGTATTCAGAATAAATAAATAAATTATTGTGGTGTCCTGGCAATTGTTTAGCCCATCTCTGTTAGTTCCTATGGACTCGGATTGATTAATTACACTTATGTATGTTGCTGTGATGCGGTGGTGTGCATCCACTGTGCACATCAATATATGCTATATTGAACTAATGACTTGAGGACGTGATCAACATCTTGAAAACCATATGGGACATAAGTACTGCCTCTGGCTGTTATTACTTGAAGATTCTTACAGAAAAATTGAACTAACTGCAGACAAATTTGGCTGTCTGAAACATCAATTAATATCGACCGGAGGCAGTATCACAGGAGGTCCCAACATGGCACATAACACAGCATACCAGGATTAGGTCATCCTCTATCTCACTGCCGTCTCTTCCAAAAATAGCTAAGATAGATAAATTAGACTGGATTCATATGATTATTCAAGTATGGAACAAGATAGGATTGGTTAGCTCGATGTACTTGCTGTCATTGTCAAAATCAAGCAATAAGAAAATTATATGCTCTTTCATCCAGTTCGCTGTTTTCCCATCTGCAGCATGCAATCGATCCCCCAAAATCATGTCCCATCACCCTCGTTCAAGGAAGATTGTCAAAGAACAGCCTGCCATCACCCACAGCTACCAGTTTTGATATCTACTGGGGATATGACAAGCTGTAGATGGTCACAAGGTTGGTCCCAATGCCCCATGTATGGAAATCTCTGAACTAGTAAGGAAACAGGTCGGCACTGGGAAGAAGCTGTATAAGGATCGACTACCCAGCTAGCAGGCAAGAAAGATAGTTCAACTTAACTGATTAATCATCTTACAACAAAAGGACAAATTGTGGCATTGTTGCCTGTTCAGGTTTATTAAAAGTGGATACAGAAGCTATGGAACTCAATAATAACACCATTGTGAGAAAAGGATAGCTGAAGAGGACTGTGAATAGAGGGTGATAAATCTGTCAAACTATACCTAAATTTTAAAATCCTATTTTATGTAAACCAAAAATAAAAAGTTTCACTACAAAAAAAAACAATTAAAGAAAAAACTAAAAATGATTGAAATGGCTCCTAACTTCCTAGTGTCCCTTGCCTTCTGTAATCCATGAGGCTTTTCTAAAATCAGTTCCCAGCGCAATATTAACCTCAAAAGAAGATCCCATAAAAAATCATCCCTTCTCTCTTAGGACACAACCCACCCTAGACCAAGCCCACATTTCCAGTGACAACACTCCCCCCTGGTTGGTCCAGAGGGCAACCCCCTCTCGCCACCGCGCCGCTCCCCCATGCGGGCGACACGGGCGGCTGCTCCCTCCCAACCCCTAGCAGCCGCCCCTTCCCTCCCCTCCCCCTGCCACACCGCCGCCGGAGCTGGCGCCCAAGATGGCACGCTGCTCGCCGGGATGGCGGTGGCGGGCTCTCCTCCTCTCTCGCGATTTGGTGGCGCGGTGGTGAGAAGCCGGGCGGCTCTCCTCCCACACGGGCTGCGTGGAGCCAGCGAAGCGTCCCGCCCATGTGTTGGCGGCGGCGTCAGTGGTGTCCGTCGGCGCGCGTGGGGGGGCGGCGGATCCCTTCTCCTCGCCCGTCCCTTCCTCCAGACTTGGCGGCGGCGGCGGCGGCGTTGGCCCGGATCGTTGGATCGAGTCCTGGGCGGCTGGATCCGGTGTCCACGCAGCCAGATTTGGAGCTCCGGCGCCTGGACCCGGCACTCTCTCGGAGGGCTGGCGAGGGCGGTGGCCAAGCGGGCGGCGGCAGGCGGCGGCAATGACAACAAAGGGTGTCGGCACCGGTGCTCTCTCGCCAGTTCCGACGCCATCAAGGGCGGCGGCACCCACGGGTGGGGCACGTGTGTCGGTGGTGGTGACATCGGGTCGAAGCGTCGGCAAAGACGTGCCAAGAGCCGCGACAAATGCGAACGGTGAGGCGTTGGTCGTCTGGCGCGGTGTTTCAATGAAAGGCCGAGTCGTCCGCTCGCGTTGCCCGGCCGGAGGGTGGCGGCGCAATTGTCTGGCTTCTGCGTCACGCGCAGCCGCGGCCGAGGCCCCTCTAAAGGGGTTACTGTGGAGCGGCAGGACAACGGCGAAGGCAGTGATGGATGGCAATGGGCCTTGCTTCTTGGCCTGACGTTTGTGCTAGAGGACTCCTTGGGAGAAAGCCTAGCGATGGCGACACCTGTGGGTGCCGCTTTCCCTGTTGGGGGCGTCGTGTATCCCCTCTAGCACTATCATCCAAGGGTGAAAGCCCGGTCCACTTTGGACATGCGATAGTGGCGCCATCGACGTCGCTACCTTCCTGAAGGTGTCGCGTTTGGATTTCGTCGTGGCCTCGATATCTCCTCGGTGATTGTTCTTCGCTTCTTTGCGCCTCGATGACGTGTGGAGGCGGGTCTTGCTGCGAGAAGTCGAAGCTGCTGCGTCAGGGACGTGGCTCGGCAACGATGACACGCAGCGAGCCCCACCTTCATCGTAGGTTGGGGTCTCCTAGGGGTCGGCAAGCGCTGGAGGTGAGGCGTGTGGTCGTGATTGGACGTCGGAGCTACTCTTTGCGGGGTGCATGAGCTTGGCAACGATGACCCGTTGCGGCCGCTTGCTTTGGGATCGTTGGTGGGTGGCTTGTGTGTGGACTGCCATGAGAAGTCGGAGCTGTTGGCGTCTTCAGCCATGCTCGGCAACGATGACCCATGGTAGTGTATCTTGTTAGTGCTCAGCTGCGTCGTGTGGGTTGTTTAGCCTATCGGGTGCCCTTTTTGAAATCCCGTTGGCTAACCCTCTTGTACATAAATTCTTTCGTCTTAATTGAGCGGCAGAGCTCCTGCCTTTGTTTCCAAAAGAAAAAAAAACACTCCCCCTCCCTCCCCTTTTACGGTCCCAGAGAAGGACCTAGACCCTCCCTCCCTTTATCCCTTACACCTTCTCCTTGCACAAGTGCCCCACTCAAAATCTCCTCACCATAAGCCCTTAAGTTTTATTTATTCTTCTCATTTGTAACCATAAGCGCTATATAACCTAAATCCTCAAACTCTAAAATAAAAATATGTTTACTTAGCAATCCTTGCAAATTAATGTTGCACCTCTTATCATGAACATTTTCCTTCCCTGTGATTTGATACAATCATCGAAAAATAAATGAATATGAATTGTACCTTTTCATTTCCTAAGCCGAACTCAGGCATCCGTGGGGTTCCAATAAGCCTTTATGGAAAATAGATAAGAAATGCAGAACTAAGAAAATTACAGGCCACAAGACAGAATGGTGGGGCTGTATGATTGAAATACTAGAAAGTCATTCCAAATATGGGGTTTTTACACAGTCAACATGCCTATTAGGACAGTAAAAATGGTGTGTTTCACAATTCATTATGCAACAGCCAAAAAAAAAGTCCTCTAGAAAGCTTGCTGTTCATTCAACAGGCACATAACAAATTGAAGGATATACCTTAAGTTCTTCTGGTGCAGGGTGCCACTCCGGTGGCCCATTATCCGTTAAAAGACCCATGGAGAGGGGCGAAGCACTGATAACCCCAACACCTTTGCTCTTCAAGTAGGGAAGCATATCGACAAGGGAGGTGTCATTGATCCCGTAGTGGCAGTAAGATAGAATCACGTCCACTGAGCCCGGCGCTACCCGGTCAAGGACATAAGGGTAGATGCTGAGGGGCAGCCCGGTGATGCCAATGAACCGTGCCTTCCCACTCTCCTTAATCTTCTGGAGCGCGGGAATTGTCTCATTCACAATCTACAGCGAGAATGAGAGTCAGTGTGCCCAGATTCCGGGCTAAGCTCACTGCACGGGAGCCTGGCAATTCGTCAAACAGGTGGTGGGCGGGAGCCGTAATCGGGACCGGACCTGGTCGAGATGGGTGAACTCGATGTCGTGGGCGTGGAGGATGTCGACGTAGTCCAGCCCCAGTAGGGCGAGGCTCTCGTCTATGCTGCGTGTCACGCGGTCGGCGGAGAAGTCGAAACCCTCGTCTTTGTAGCGGCCGCACTTGGTGGCGACGACGACTCGATCCCGCGGAACGGCCGCGTGGCGGAGGCAATCGCCGAGGACCGACTCCGAGATCCTGCCGCCGTAGTACCTGAGCGCGGGTGGGCGGTCGGACCGGCATCAGTGTCGGCGGCCGAGGAGAGGGGAGGAGATGGGAGGAGAGGAAAGTGGGCGAGGGGTTTTGTACGGGGAGGTGTCGAAGAAGTTGATGCCGAGGTCGAGCGCGTGGCGGACGGCGGCGCGGGCGGCGTCGCGGGGCACGTCCCCGAAAACGTTGCCGAGCGGGGAGGCGCCAAAGCCGACGGCACTGACGCGGAGGCCCGTACCGCCCAGCTCGCGGTGCTCCATGGCCCGTCAGGCTCAGGCTTCGTTTGGTGGATGCGCGCGATGGATTGGAGGGGACAGGTGAGGGGACTGGAGTGGAGTGGATGGCGACTGCGCGCGACGGAAGCACACCACCAGAGACCAAACTAACGTACTCCCTCGGTACCAAAATACTAGTTTTTTCCTAGCAAAAAAACAAAAACTAGTTTCTTAGTGTCGGGATGCTTCTTTTAATGGGATGTTTGGTTGAGCTCTAAATCTAGTCTTATTTAGTTATTTTTTACTCTAACACTGATTAAATGGGACTAAATAAGTTTTAGTCCTCTCTAGCAATTCTGGAGTGACTAAATGAAACTAAACTATTTAGGAGGGACGTCCAAACCAAACACCCCTTAAGTAGACGCGATAATAGTTTCTTTAAGTACAAATAGTTCCTTCGTAATGTTTTGTACCCAGACAAAAAAAAGACAGTTCATTTAAAGTACAAATGGATTGATTTTCTAAACCAAATAGTCTCAGTAATCATTGGGTTGGGAGTGGTCTTTATGCACTAGAGAAAGGCAGTAGAGGTGCCAAGAAGCATTTATCTTTATAGTGGATAATAAAATACTCAACACAAGGGGCAGCACATGAGAACTTTTATGGGAAAATTCATATGTTGGTGATGTTGATTCTCACGCTATGGATTGCTACTAAAACCACCTTTCAAAACATTTGGTACACGTTTTATTTTTGCCTTATTTTTTAGAAAATAGAAAACCACCTTTAAAACTAGCTAAATAACCTCGGGCTGGGCAATAGTTTCATTGAGTTGGCTCGTAGCCTATTCAAAAAGGAAAAAAATGCTCCAACTGCAGTAGACTTTTGTTTCAAAATAAAAAAATAGCTTATTTGAAGTGAAATTCAATTTTGACTCGACTTGTTAAGCTTTGTCTCAAGCTTTCTAACAAGTAACAACACATGAGGACACATTAATTTTAAAGAAAGCTCAACAAAAAGTTATGTTGGCTCGTTGTCCATGAGGAAAATTTTGTCCTGTATCACCTATTGAAGGGCCCGTACCCGTCTCATTCTCCTATTTTGTAGAGGTCCTTGCTCGGGGGTGGGTTGAGGCGGCTCGGCTAGGGCCGACAGTGGCGGCGTGGGAGGCAGCGATGTCGGTTGGAGGACGGCGGCGGCGGTTGGCGCAGGGCAGGAGGTGACGGCGCTGGGAGGCAAAGAGCGAGAGAGATTTGGTTTAAAGAGCAAAGCTCTATTTTCTTCTTGATTGGAATAGTTACAATGCCTCTATCCTTATAGTCCCTAGCAGACTTACACACCAAGCAATCTAGCAAGAAGTTCTTATAGATTTGGCTTCTCCTTTTCTAAACAAACTCTCAACTTTTCTAACAAATCTTAACATTGTTTTCCTAAACAATTTTCTATCTATTTTTTCTAATTATGTCTATTTTCCTAAATTACTTAAAACACGAGGATAACGAGGGGAAGGTGGGGTGCCAACCTGTGGACGTGCCTGCTGCCTGCGTGCTGGTGGCGCCCTCGGCTGGCGCTGCCGCCCCTCCTAGGCCCTGGGCGGCCCACTGAGTCCGTTGGACAGTGCCTTTCTTAGGACCATGACATATTTCAAGATTGAAAATTGGACCGCCAAGCAAGTTATTTGCTAGAAAATAAACTTTACGTCTTGACCCCCAAAAAATATATTTATAACGAGCAATTTCTATGTCATGTTCTTACTTTTCAAATGCTTTTGTTTTTTCATTTATGACTATACTACATGAGTGTCCGTGCGTTGCAACGGATACGACATAAATTGAATGAGATGTTTGTTAGCCAAGTAAAAATCAAGAATATATCAATTCAATTTTTCACGTGTATTATACCATGACAATGTCTAGAAATACATTCATTATCGTAATGAATCTAAAATAAAAGCTAGGCTTGTAGCTCGTTGTCTGAAAGTTACGACAAACATCAGTTGCCTCAAAGGTTGAAAATTTATTGCTAGGCATCGAATTAAATTTATCCATGCTCTGCCTTACCCAAAACATGTATACTCGGACTTACAATATCCTAGCCTGCATGAGGCATGGCAACAATTCATTTTTAGGAAAAAATATTTGTTGTCAACACGCAACGCGAAGGACGACGAACGAGATTTGGATCACGATCATTATCATTGCGTGGTGATATTCCAATAAATTCCTTTCTCTTCTCATAATTCTCTTTCTATTTTATTCTATTTTATTTACTTACCTTCCAGTGTCTCTATGCGGTGATTATTTGCCTGCCGGTGATTCCGTGAGTTTTATTCTATTTTATTTACTTGCCTTCCAATGTTTCTATGCGATGATTATTTACCTGTCCGATATGGATTGATCCTGCCGGGTAGACGCTGATAATCCGTATATTTTAGTTGTATATAGATATAGAGATAAGATGGACTAGTACACTACTACACTTGTTACGGGTAGTATCAACTTTAGCGTAATGCCAAATTGAATCTTAATCAAGTAATCAACCTGAAGCATTTATCAAACACTTAATAGAAGATACATATCATATATAATATTTTTGTGGATCTTATTACAAACTAGAAGCTGTATCTTCTCTCGATCTCCAGGTTACGGTGAGCTAACTGGCGGGATGCATGGTGGTCCGACAAACGGCCCGGGCACAAAACATTATAAAGGAGAAGTGTTAGAAGGATTGATATATTCTTAGCTGTAAACAGCACTCTTATGTACTTCGGCGACTGATACTCTTGCAAGCACAGTCAATTCTATTTGGTGGTGAGAAGCTAGGTTACCTGCAGCAGTCATATCTAATGCGATGTTTAGTTGCCCTCCTAAATTTTAGTCGTTGTTTCATTGAATATTTGGACACATGTATAGAGTACTAAATATAAACTAATTATAAAACTAATTGCATTGTTTGCGACTAATTTACGAGACGAATCTTTTAAACCTAATTAGTTCATGATTTGACAATGTGGTGCAACAGTAAACATATGCTAATGATGGATTAATTAGGCTTAAAAATTTTGTCTCGTAGAGTACCGATGGATTATATAATTTGTTTTTTTACTAGTATCCGAACACCACATGCAACATCCTCCCGACACACCTCCTAAATTTTAGTCACTAATCTAAACACCACCTAAGTTTCATCATCTTTGTCTCGCTGTAATCCTTCTTCTCTTGACCTGTGAGTAGCTTCACGATGCATCCCATGTCCATGTTCCGGACGAGTCTCGCCGAGTGGCAGCACAGACTTTCACGATCAGGTGGCGCTGCGATTAGAACTCCGCGACGTGATGAATGCATTGCAGGTGTGAAGGATGGCCTCCTTCTGTCTCGGTACATATTCTTGGGTCACCGTTCACATATTGGACACCTACCATTGAAAACAACAGCAAGAGGAGAACTCCTGCTTTGCGAGGCAGCATCTTGTTAAGTGCTTAAAATAGTAGCTTGCGAATGATGTTCTATATGTGAAACTCCAGGCTATATGCTCGTATATACATGACTCGGAACCTAGAAATCGATTAATTTTCAGCTTCTTTTTTTTCATTCGAAACAGTGTTTTCTCTCACAACAAATCATCCAGAACAGTGTTTCGGTTTATTTTTTCAGCCGAAACGAACAGGGCCATAGGTACTCTTAATTAATTAATGCTAGGACAGGCATGGATACTCCTATGTATATGATATACGTAGATATACCGAAATGCTATCTTATCTTTTGGGTCGAATTAATTATATTACCTTTCTCACATTGATTTATATTATATATGTAGCATATTTTATTTTCTGGAATCCTAACTCATCATCTAATTAATATGGGTCCAGGATTGAAATAAAATGCTTCTATTGTATTATTGAGAAAATACAGGAAAAAAAAGGAAACAGTCCCTGTGGGACATTAGTGCTAACTGTTCGGAGCTACAAACAACTGTTCATTCAATTACTATGGACCATATAGGACATGGTATGTCATCTTTTAAAGCCCAACAATCTATGTAGGTTGAAACGATCCATGATTTTCTCGAAGAGAACTCCACAGATTATAACACAATATGATAGTCTCAAAAAGATCATGCCATCACATCAACTTTATCCAGTTGGTACCACAGTTCATAGATCACGAATACCTGTATTAAAGGGTTACATCACATAGTTTTACCCATTATTATATTGCCACACCGACGGAATCACATGCACAGAGTAGGACGTAGCGCCTCAGCAGGGTGAAAACTCCATCTCCACAAGCAACTTGAGCATAGGACAAGACCACCTAGTCCTTCCATCCATTGTTGTCGAAGTTGTACTCGGGCTCCTCACCTGTGTAACAACCCGAAATCCGTTACAACCTTAGGCAGTCATTTTTGGATGCCGAGAGAGGTCAACTACTGAAAATCCTACGGACACCCATGTCGTGTTACGCAAGGTGGAATACCGAGAATCCGTTAACACACCCAGCATAGAGAAAGAGAACCTCTACTTGGACTGGTGTTTGTCCTATTGACATCGTCAACACCAATTACATCTTAAGAACACATGTGGGAAGGATACGTTAGCCGTTAGCATCCATGATTCAATGACTTAATCAATTCAGCACAAGACAGAGACTACTAGACGATCCGCCAAGGTATCAGATCCTCCAATAGAAACTGAGAGCACAGAGTTAAGTGGAAATAAGTGGTTTTTCCATTTATGGCCTTGGACCCACATGTTAGCACGAGTTGAGATCTTTTATCAGCTGAAGCACACCCTCTCACTCACCCTTTCCCTCACCCATTCACTTGTAACCCTCTCCCTCTCTCTCTAACTTTCATGAGCAAGGAGGAACCCTAGAACTAGAGAGAGAAGGTATGGGAGAAGGGATTGAAGGAGGAAAGGAAGAAGAAGAAGAGAAGCATCAACACCTTTCCATGGATCTCATCAACATCCTCAACCTACTCATGCTTGGAGTTGTTTTGCTAGTGGTGATTCAATCATGTATAGAAGAGATGATAGATGGAAGGAG